GAGGCGTTCGGGGCGTGGGAAGGAGGCCAAACAAGCAGCCAACGGCAGCTGCTCCCTTTCCCGAGCCGGCCCGGCCCCGCTCTGAGCGCTGGCCCCAGGAAGCCTCGCTGCCTGTCCGGCCCCGGCGGCGCGGGAGCAGCTGGGGAAGGGGGACGGTGGCTTTTGTCCCCCGCCAGGTGATCGGCAAAGGCAGCGAGAAGGCCGACGACAGCTCCATCGACGAGAAGTACCTGATCGCCACCTCGGAGCAGCCCATCGCCGCCCTGCACCGCGACGAGTGGCTGAAGCCGGAGGATTTGCCCATCAAGTACGCGGGGCTGTCGACCTGCTTCCGTCAGGAGGTGGGCTCGCACGGCCGTGACACCCGCGGCATCTTCCGCGTCCACCAGTTCGAGAAGGTGAGAAGAACGGGATGATATTCCCGACGGGAATTTGGGGATGTATCCGAAGCCGGCACCGACCGCAGGGATCCGTTCTCTTGGCAGATCGAGCAGTTCGTCTACGCCTCGCCCCACGACAACAAGTCGTGGGAGATGTTCGAGGAGATGATTGCCACGGCGGAGGATTTCTACCAGTCCCTGGGCATCCCCTACCACATCGTCAACATCGTCTCGGGTAGGGGCTTCCTCGCCGCGTGGCACCGTGCCGCGGTGGCCCAGGAGGATGCTGGCCACCTCTGCCAGCCCCTCGGGTGTCACCGTGGCCCTGACCCGCTTCCCAACTCCGCTTGCTTCGGCCCCGGCTCGCCTTCCCGCTGCCCCAAACCTGGCGAGGGAGAGGAGGTGCCTGGGCCCCGGGCGGGGAGGAAGGAGACGTTGGTGTTTCTGCAGAGATGCTCTGCTCTGGGCACACCGGGACCGGGCGCGGGCACCGCGCTGTGCCAGGACGGTCCCCGCTGTCCCTTCCAATTCTGAGTGTCCCAACGCCTCCCGGGAATTCTGGGAAAATCATCCTGGTTCAGCGCTCTGCCGCAGAGCGGGAACCCCCAGGCCCTTCCCTAGTCACCGCGCAGGCGTCAC